GAAGGCGGTACGGCGAAACAAACACACAACGTGGACTCCATTTCGATTTAAAGCTTTCGTGACTGCAGGGATTCATCTTCTTGATTTGAAGCTTTCGTGACTGCAAGGATTCATATTCTTAGGTGTTTTCGGTAAAGTCACGTAGGTAAAACATTAAAATTAATGAAAGTAAAATAAAATAAAAATCACGACGTTTCGGAGGCAACACAAGCTTCCGTCTTCAGGTGGAACCGTCACAACCACGACAGCTGTATCAAGTAAATGAGAGATTGCAGGAGCTACCACTCCGTTTATATAATGGTTGGAGAAGGGGGGGGGGGGGTTAAGAGCCAAGTGCAGCACACTTTTTATTTTTATTTATTAATATGGTAAGGTAAAATCACGTAGAAGGGAAATAATAAAATAATAAAAATAAAACATAATAAAATAATTCTCACGACGTTTCGGCTACAACGCAAGCAGCCGTCTTCAGTTGAAGAATGAAGCTTGGCAGTGTTTCATTCTTCACCTGAAGACGGCTGCTTGCGTTGTAGCCGAAACGTCGTGAGAATTATTTTATTATGTTTTGTTTTTATTATTTTATTACTTCCCTTCTACGTGACTTTACCGAAAGAACCAAACAAACGTGGACTCCATCTAAAGAAAGCTGTCTCTGGTGTGGACCAATCAGTTTCAAAGACAATCAACATATCAGAGCATGTGAATTGTCTTTGAACAAGTACATTATTTAATTCAGACAGGATTCCTTGAAAAAGTCTTTTGTTTTGTGTTTTAACATCTTAACACCTGTTTATTGCCAGGAAAGGTAACACCTACTGTATTGTTATATTTTGATACTGGCAAGACAGGTCCCATGATGTAGCTGCTCACCCCGAGATATAAATGCCCTGATAGTGGCATCGTCTTTGTGCTGTTCACCTTTTGGCGTTCTCTGGTCGAACACTTTGAGACTGGGCTCAAAAGAAAGCTGTATCTGGTGTGGACCAATCAGTTTCAAAGCCAATGCATATATTACTAAAAAAACATTATCTGATGTTTACGCAATGTTTTTTGTTTGTTTGCATGTTCACTACAATTACGTGTGGCTAATGAGGACATGATTCCTTGAAAAAGGGATTTTATTTGGTCTTTTAACATCTGAACGCCTGTTTTTTGGAAAAAAGACTAAAACCTATCGTTATATTTTGTTACTGGCAAGAAAGGTCCTTCCTATATATTGGACTCCATTCGTTGGAATCTAGTGGTGCCCCGATTTCCTCGCACAATAAATGTCTGACAACACCTTAATATACATAGAGGACTGCAGAGCTTGGGCGACAGGGAACTTGGCAACCGGCTCGTCCGTGGTTCCTCGCGCCCCCTGAGCCGTCCTCTCCTTTTCGAGAGCGAGCGAGCGAGCGAATGCTGTGCTGCCAGCGGCGCGTTACAAGCCGACATCTGCCAGTGTCCGGGTCTCTCCCGTGCACGCATAAGATGCGCAAGGGGTCATTTGGCCGCACAGACGAGAAAGCATCGTATAGTGGAATGGTTCGGCAGTGAAAATGAGACGAAGAGACATTTTTTCGTGGAATTCGGTAAAAAATAAAATATTCCTGCAATGCGTGTGATTACGAGACGGTGGAAATTAACGACGAAGCAGTTATTGCAGAGCCGCATGTGACTCACGAGCCGCAGATTGTCGACCCCTGCCATAGCGCGACAATACAAATACAGATTTGAAGCTTTCGTGACTGCAAGGATTCATATTCTTAGGTTTTTTCGGTAAAGTCACGTAGGTAAAAAATTTAAATTAAAATTAATGAAAGTAAAATAAAAATAAAAATCACGACGTTTCGGAGGCAACACAAGCTTCCGTCTTCAGGTGGAACCGTCACAGCCCGACAGCTGTATAAAGTAAAAAAAAAAAGACAAAAAAAGACGGAAGCTTGTGTTGCCTCCGAAACGTCGTGATTTTTATTTTCATTTTACTTTTATTAATTTTAATTTTAATTTTTTACCTACGTGACTTTACCGAAAAAACCTAAAAAATGAATACAAATACAATTTCATTTGACCTGCACTGCCCTCTGCTACTGCTGCTGTTGCCCACAGAGCCGATAGCACCTCACACCATCCGTGCGCCGTGCTGCCTCAAAGTCCTGCTGAGATTGTGAAATCTGACACGGAGGGGGGTGGGTGGTGGGATTGTTGCGAGGCTCGGCTTTACGCGCGCACCCATTCATTCCGTCGTGAGCTGCTGGGCTCGCGGTGCAAGCCCCAAATCTTTAACGGTGCAACATGTGCCGTGCCCGAAGTGACCTCAGTTCAGTTTCATTAAGAGTCTTTTATAGCGACCGCTATTCTTTTGACTCCGAGATCCTTTTAAGGGACAAACACAACACTCTATCGCGCCTTTGTCAGTGCAGTGACCCCAACTATAACCCTGACCTTGCACTCTGGGTGTGTGCAATGCACAATAGAGTGAAATCCTACAGACGTTTCCCTCCGAGTTGTAATATTACACACATTTATTTAAATGACCGATATATTTGCGATGCTGATGTACATGCCATCTATGTGCAGATGTGTCTCGTGAAATAAAATGACTGTGAATGGAACTCTACATCTGTTTCCATGGAAGTGAATAGGAATTGGTTTAAATTGCAGATTTTTGTCACTCCACTGTTAGATGAAGGCCTCCCTTATGCTGTGTCGTTTCATGGTTGGTTGTATGACCATACTTCACCACACTGGTCAATGTGAATCGGTGAGGTGAGTTGGTCTAAGTAAGGCCCAGGACTGGTTCAAGTATAACTCGTCACCGATGTTAGCCGTGGCTGGAAATGAACCAAGGTTGCTGAAATCGTAGCCCAGTGCGCTAACCACTGTGCCACTTCTCCCCACTGGAGGAACCAGTTTAAAAGAACAACATTAAACGTATTGCTGTACCCCGGGGTACCATAGTACCCCGGCTCTCGCGTAATGTTCGTGATGCAGTCATTTATAGTCTGTTGATGGTCGGCGATGCGGCAATCGACTCATCTCGACGAGCTGTACACGATGCACCACCACGGTGCCACGTACCGCGAGCGTTCAGGGTTTTTGCGCATTCGTCCTCGCTGCGTTTCGACATCGCGAAGTAGCACCGATTTCGGATTGATTGGTACCCCAGTCGCGTAGTTAAGTACACCTCTGGAAAATATAGTGTCCCAGAAATAAAATATTTAATTGCCTCGGCCATTTAGTATTATTTGGTACCCCGGGGTACCGCCATAAGGTTCATATTGTGCATTTAAAAATGGCTTTGGCTCTTAAATGTCCCACACGACCATTCCCAAATACATCGAATAGGTGCCCTCTCATCAGATCTCAGAAGCTAAGCAGAGTGAGACTACGTTGGTAATTGGATAACTAATTGCCAGAGCCTGTCAGGTGTTCTCGGCTTGGGCTGTGAAGTAGCCAGGAGACGTCTTGCAGCCAGAGGTCGCAAACGGTTTTGATTCCTTACCCGTACCCGTACCCGGCCGCACCAGGGTCGCAAATGGGTACCTGTACCCGGCCGGGTACGGGTACCCGTTCCCTACCCGTACCCTACCCGAAATGAGTGACAAACGGTTACTCACCAGTGACTCACGGCCTAACCGTACCCGTACCCGTACCCGGCCGCACCAGGGTCGCAAACGGCTACCCGTACCCGTACCCGGCCGGGTACGGATAGCTGGGTATCGGGTAGGGTACGGGTATCGGGTACCCGGTTGCGACCTCTGCTTGCAGCACGAGGCTGGGTGTTCTCTGGGGTCTCCAGTTCATGACCATACATGACCACATGACCACACATGACCACATGACCACACTGAGCTAAACTCTCATCATTCGAGGGATTTGTGGCCAAACATCCCCCATGTAGCAGGGCCCTCCTGGAACAGAGTGGAGAGGCTCAAAGATATTTCCATAGGTAAATAAACGGTGTCGCTCTTCTTCTTCTTACATGTTCTGATTTTTCCTGGCTGTTTGGATCTGAAATGGGAATTGTTGTGAAATTGACGGGAGTTGAAGTGGGGTCTGGGGCAGTGGTGGCTCTGATGGAGCAATTTCATGCTCCGTTTCTGACCACTGTGCCCCGGAATTTTAAAACTTTTACTCTCCTTCCTACCTTTTTAGAATTATTTATTTGCTTATATTTTTTCATTAAAAACAGTTTTTTTTTTACTATTCTCTGTTATGTGTTTTTCAGGGCACTCTTTTAATGTCCAAACTAAATGTGTGCTCGTAAAACATGCACCACCCGCCCTGGCGTAACGACAACTGCACAGACTTAGAAACCGAGTCGCGAATTAATATCGCGTCTTGATGGATTATAACTTGGGTAAATAAAGGTTTGGTCACAATGGAACAATGGGAACAGAGTGAAAGGCCTGCCAATGCTGGGATGGGGTCAGAATGGTAGCACATCAGAGCAGCGAATTACGATTGGCTTACAGCTGCTCACTCGGGGTGCAGGCGTCAAAACAAGAAGGGTGGCAATAGGATCCCCTCCCCTCGCCGCTTCCCTTACATGTCCATCTCTCCACGCACTAAACAATGAAGGCAATTTTAAAAACAACCCAATAACCGCACGGCTTTCTGGGCGTGCATTTTTTTTAACATAAGCAAAACCCTGGGCTGGTTTCGGCATTAAGTGCATTATAAACTAGTCAGGCTTGCCCAAAGCAGTGCTGGTCATCTGCCAGATGTTAATATGCAAGGGCCGTCTCTGTTATTGGTCTTAGCTCGACGCATTAACTCCCAAGCATTATTGTAGAGGAGATAAGCAACACGTGGTCCCCCGGTGCAATGAATGGAATGGGACTCCTTGTCCAATTTCCCCCATCTTGTAATTTGTGGGGTGGGAGTTTTAACATTAAAAATAATAATTTGACTGGCGTCACGTGTTGTCACTTTTGGCGGGAAAAAAGTGGCAGTTGACACCGTTGAAGTGGCATCACTTTCTGCGTGGAATGAACATTACAAGATCAATTCCAAAACAACACGTGGTTTCAATTTGTATTTATACAGGTAGGAACAACAGGTTCCACACTGCCCACCAGGGATTATTAGGGTCATTTTCTATTTCGTAACGACGCCTCAAAAAAAATCTTCAGTGTGCCTCAGTGCTCACGTGAGCCTGGTCGTGGCCGAGCGATCGCACGGTCACGGTTCGAACCCAGCGGCCGCCCTGGTTATCACTGTGGGTGCAAAATTTAAAACGAACATCGCCGCTCATTAAATTTCGATTTAAAGCTTTCGTGACTGCAGGGATTCATCTTCTTGGTTCTTTCGGTAAAGTCACGTAGAATGGAAATAATGAAATAATAAAAATAAAACACAATAAAATAATTCTCACGACGTTTCTGTCTACTCGACAGACTGTCTACTCGCCAGACCTGCTCTTCACCTGAGGACGGCTGCTTGCGTTGTGGCCGAAACGTCGTGAGAATTATTTTATTATGTTTTATTTTTATTATTTTATTATTTCCACCGCCGCTCATTGTCTGCTTTACGGGGGACGTTCGAAATCCACTGACATCATCAATCGTCAAGGGTGATGCCATTGTGTGCCAGCGTCATGGCCCACATTTGCCCAATTGAAAATTGCACCGCAAATTTACCCAATTTGGGATTGTATGCAGCAGCAATCATCGCCCCCCCCACCCCCCGATTGGCAGGCTGATACCTCCGGATCACTCTTGCAAACGAGACAATTTTCTGGCCTCTAAAGCTCTCCCCTTGGTTTAAAGAAACAGCAACGCAAACCTGGAAAAGCACACAGACTGCACGTGCCATTGGTTGGCGGGGCATTGCCATCATGCAGTCACCTCCGATTATTAGCACGGTTGGCTGCGCCGTGCGGCTTCGCGAAAGAGGTTCGGACACGCGTGTGTACGGTGCTGCGTGCTTACGACGAGAATTTTTTTGGACGATGTGGAATGGGCGTGGCCAGTCCGAGGGATTGGAGCCAATGGGAAGTGAGGTGGGTGGGAGGGGGGACGGTGCTTCGCTTATCCTCGTGCTCAGAAATCGGTGTAGGGGGAGAGGGGGGGTGAATAAATAAAATGTCCACACTAAAAGGCCCTTTGACAACGGTGAACTCTCTGATGAATACCTCCACGTGAACGCCGATGTGCCAGCTCAGTCGGTTGCCGAGTTAACAACACGAGCACTCTTCTTGGTTCTTTCGGTAAAGTCACGTAGAAGGGAAGTAATAAAATAATACAAATGAAACATAATTAAAATAATTCTCACGACGTTTCGGCCACAACGCAAGCAGCCGTCCTCAGGTGAAGACCAGGTCATTCAGACGCTGTCTCCCCGAATTATTTTATTATGTTTAATTTTTATTATTTCATTACTTCCCTTCTACGTGACTTTACCGAAAGAACCAAGAAGATGAATCCCTGCAGTCACGAAAGCTTTAAATCGAAACACGAGCACTGAGAATTGAAATGCCCTGTGCCTTGGTAGAGAGGAAAGCATAGACGGTGTTTAGACTTGTATATTTGGAAGGGGTTCGCTTTGTCCCTCACGTTAGGAATCGAGGGTGCACACAATATATTTTCTATCTTAATTGTAAACTACTGAACATAAATTTTGATTCAAAGCTTTCGTGACTGCAGGGATTCATATTCTTGGTTCTTTCGGTATAGTCACGTAGAAGGGAAATAATAAAATATTGGTTATTATTTTTATTATTTTATTATTTCCCTTTTACGTGACTTTACCGAAAGAACCAAGAATACTGAACATAAATTAATAAAGTTTGGACGGGGCGTTGCACCCCCCATCCCCGCCGTGTCACCCCCACCCTCCGTAAATTCCGCCCATGAGAGGATTACATTTTTTAGAGAGCGAGGAAGATTTCACTTCACCATTAGCACCCACCTTGAAAGAAAGTCAAAGAGTCGCTAAATTAAATTTTTTTTAAAGCAACTTTATTAGCAACCGTTTTTCTCCCGAGCCTCTTTCCTCGTCTACGAGATCTGTGTCACGGAAAGAAAATAAAAACACACACACAACAAACTCGCGGTGATAATTGAGATCCATAATAGAGGTTGTTTTTGGGGTGAGATCGCATAAATATATAAACGTGTCGTTAAACCCGCCACCACCCGACACAGCCAACTATTAACGTGTTACTCTTTGGTTCTTTCGGTAAAGTCACGTATTAACAGAAATTAGTATTTAATTTATTATTTTCTCTTGATACGTGACTTTACCGAAAGAACCAAAGAGTAATTGCTGCAGTCACGAAAGCTCCAAATTAAGAATTAACGTGTTGTCACGTAAACAAAACGTGCCAATTCGTCACTAGCACAGCACTAAGCGGTGTGTTGGAGAGCCAAAGCCTCCGTGTTTAACTGAGAAATGAAATGCGCGCAGTCTGAGCGCCAAACGGCCTTCGAGGCTTGCGGGGATGTCAAAAGTCGGAGCAGCAGCAGCAGGAGGAGGAGAAGGAGCAGCTTGCAGAGGCGGCTGCCGGGCGCCACTACACAAAAGTCCCCACAATTCGTTGGCAACGCGCACAGGACGTGGCAATTGCCCCGAGGGAACGCGACAGCAGAATTTGTGATCCCCGCGACTGAAACCAACACAACAACAACAAAAAAGACTTGCGCACGCGTTGGCTCCGCTCAGCCACGTCGTGAAGATTGAGATAATTTATTGGGATTACGAGCTAGACGTTACCGTCTGCGCGCCTGGGTGCGTGTGTGCAGACACACACAAAGACAATGAACAGACTCAGTTTAACACCTAGGCTTTCGCGACCAATATTATTCATAATAAAGTTTTTTGGGTTAGATGGCGTAAGGATAAATGTGTCGTAACCCTCCACCACCCGACACAGCCAATTAGTAGTAAACAAAACGCCAATTAGTTACTACTTCAGCCCACGGGTGTGTTGGAGACTGTTGGGGACAAGTGCTGTTAGCGAGCACCTATGAAGGCCGGCACGGGGCACGAGGGGGTGGGTGACCAACACCACGCCCGACCGCCTTTGTCTCCCCTGTGGCGATTTTTACACGCAGCACCAGGTACTCGTTTGAGGCTGAGTCGACCTAGCGGAGGCCCAGGACCAGTTCAGATAATCGTCATTGGTGTTGACCGTGAACGGAAATCGAACCCGGGTCACCAGGTTCGTAGCGCAGCGCGCTAACCGCTACACTAGCGCTCCCCAGACATACACATACATATGTTACATAACCGACCTGGATAAAAGGGACGGCGGCAAAGATAATTGGCCAGAGAAGACACCTGGGCACACCCATCTATCAGGTGTCGTTCGTCCGGGGATTGCCACCGCATTGGAGTGGTGGCATCACCACCAGGCCCCATTCAGCAGGTGGGGCCCAAAGCAGAAATGTTTTCTCAGTAATGTTTTCTCCTCTCCCTTTCAACGTAGAAAATCATAGGCGGGCGACAGAAGTGATGTGGATGGGGAACACAGACGTTAGTGAGATGAGAGAAATGTAGAGAGAACAAATATCTAGTTGTGGTGTGATGATAAAAATATAGACAAAGAATAATTATAGGTGTAGTGAGATGAGAAAAATATAGAGAAAAATATACTTGTGGTGAAATGAGAGTAGAGAGATGCTGACAATATCGGGATCAGAGATATATTGGCTTGTTATGTGATTGGGACTGTTACGTTTGTTAGGATTTGAACTTGAGATAATATTTGATACTTTCTTTTTTTTCTTCCAAAATCTGCTGACCCCTTGAGCCATTGGGGGGGGGGGGGGGTCCCTACGCCTTTGTGAAATGTGCTCATGTGCCACGGTCTCGAGATATTAAACTGCCTCGACGGGTACACAGGGGGTCGTGGGTTCGATCCCGACCCTGACAATGCCTGCATATTTGGAGTTTAAATGATCTCCTCGTGGTTACGTGGATTTTTCTCCGGGTCCTCCGAATTTTCTCTCCACATTAGAGGCATGCCTTTAGAGTTATTTGGCTGCTATACATTCCCACGAGATAAGACACTTCTGATTTAAAGCTTTCGTGACTGCAGGGATTCATCTTCTTGGTTCTTTCGGTTGCTGCTTTCAGTTGCTGCAGTTTCTGCTGCAGCAGCAGCAGCAGCAATTGCAGCAACAGCAGCAGCAGCAGAAACTGCAGCAGCAGCAGAAACTGCAGCAGCAGCAACTGCAGCAGCGGCAGAAACTGCAGCAGCAGCAGAAACTGCAGCAGCAGCAGAAACTGCAGCAGCAGTAACTGCAGCAGCAGCAGAAACTGCAGCAGCAGAAACTGCAGCAGCAGCAGAAACTGCAACAGCAGCAGAAACTGCAGCAGCAGAAACTGCAGCAGCAGCAGAAACTGCAGCTCCCTTTGATGCTGTTAATCCTGCATAATACACATGCATATGCAGTACTAATCACATTCCTGCATTTCCCATAAATATGCTAAATTCCTCTTGATATGCAAATTCCTTTGTCAAGGCGCCCAGCTTATATATATGCTCCAAGCTCGTGTGCTGTTTCATTCAGACTCTGTCGCCTCGACGGACCTGGTTTTCACCTGAGGACGGCTGCTTGCGTTGTGGCCGAAACGTCGTGAGAATAATTTTATTATGTTGTATTTTTATTATTTTATTACTTCACTTCTACGTGACTTTACCGAAAGATCCAAGAAGATGAGAAACTTCGTTGAGCTATCATTTGTGGGCAGGTCGTTTCTGAAAAAGAGCTACATCGCTCAATGGGCCTGATCTGGTACAATAAAAAATAAATAGTTTAGATTTTAATAGTTTCGTGCCAATGCCGCAATTGGCCAAATGCAATGGGAATATAATAAGAACCGTGACAAATGACGTAACTTATTTAAATAACAAAAATGCCCCGTTTTAATGCTAATAAGTTTAGGAGCTTACCGTTTTCTCTTTAACAGCCATTACTGGCTTTGTGTACTTGAATAATGCGTTCATTGTGTTTACATCGGCGTTCTAATTGCAGCTGAGATGGGATGAAATCTGCCCCATTAATAATACTTAAATTCTATTCAATTAATCTGAAATGCAT